AGCTTTCGTGGGTGAATACCACATGCGCATGCGTCTGACGAAGTGGGTATTCACCCACGAAAGCTTATGCTCCAATACATCTGTTAGTCTATAAGGTGCCACAGGACTCTCTCTTGCTTTTTACAGATCCAGACTAACACGGCTACCCCTCTGACACTAAAGATTCTTAGCCATTGTGGCAGGAAGAGCCAGGATTTCTTGACATGACACACTGCAGTCTAACTTGCAGCTGCACTTGTGCTCTTACAACCTCACTGGCTAAACAGGGCCTGAGGTTTTTAAATCTTCCATGAGACAGAACACAGTTTATGGCTTCAGTAGTCAAACGACCCTGAAGGGTCTAAGTCCTTCTTCGGTGAACTATTTGTTTTCCATTAGCATGAAGATTAATTTTAAAGTTAGAGATGGGTGAACTTGCCAGGACAAACAATTAGCCACAGCCTTTAATGCTGGTGGACTGTTAAAAGGGTACGAAGGGACCAGATTACTTTTTAAGTGGGTTTAAATGGTCCTTTCAACTTTACAGAGCTAACGTGGCTGCTTCCCTCTCCTCCCTACTTTCACCTGCTGGCAACTGCATTGTTCCCTTTCAGCCAGCCTACCCACTAGATCCCTCTTCTCCTATTTCCCTGCTAGCTGTTGGACAAATTTACAAGGGAAAACGAATAAAGACACTCGAAGCTACTAATTTAGTAAAAGGTACAGTCGATACGAAAAAAAGGCTTCTAATTTTGTTTAAATATAGATGTACTTGTTAACATGCTTATGCAGACCACTGAACAGTCTGCAACAGATACATGCATAAGGTTATGGTACTCCAAGTATTCCAAACTGATTTTCAATTCTGGAGACTGGTGGGCATGATATTCAGTCAGTTTCACAGGGAATTATAAAGACCAGCTAGTTCAGAAAACTCAGACTAATGTAATTTTAGTCCGATAGCCCTGACAATACAAAACTTTACACTAACAGCCAATAATTTGAGCCTGGCACTAACTACTAGATCCAGAGGCAAATTTCTGAGGAATCGGATTAGCTTTTTCCCCATTCCTCAATACACACAAACATCTAAATCGCCTACTAAATCCTTAGTAGCCTCCAGAGATTCTCTGTTTTAATATTTCATGACCAACATAATGCAGATTTCTAAAGAAATGAAAAATCACCCCTGTACAACTGGCCTTTAAAAGGCATCTTAAAGGGTGCATATGCCTTGCAATGACTCTCTGAACAGGCTTAAAGTCAGCCCCCAAGACAGAACAGCTTGTCCAGGAGTAACACGTTGAATAGGTTTAAAATCCCCCGCCTTTTTACACCATTAACTACATTTGTTGCCCTGTAAAACATCCATGTGAATTAAATGCATTCTGAGATTTCATCATTTCTTTGATATCTCATCTTGCATATGAAAAGTGACTGAAGGCCTGTGAAATTTTGTGTCAAAGATTTAATATATTTTCTTATGCATACAGAAATGCATCTGAAGGAGGAAAATGGCGTCTCAATATTACACTGCTCATTTCTACTGACTTAGTTACACTCAAGCCCACGATCCTTAGCTATTTGTATGACTAGGATTTGTTCTCCTATTGATTTATGCAGATCAGTGGATTGAAATCCTCTTGCCGTGAAAATAATTCACCTCTCCCTCCGCTACTCACTCAATCCCCATGCACCAGTTGCTTGATTAGTAAATAGATTTCTGATAGTTTGCTAATTAATAAAATGAAGTTAACGTACTTTCCATTTGAGAGAGACATTGGGACTCAAGTCCTGAAGGTAATAAATTTTGGCTTTGGCATTAGAGAGAAAAAGGCGCCCACTCCAGCTGCACACACAGTGCGGTACTAACAAGATTGTGTTTCAAATGACAGACTTGCCTTCGCAGGTAAAGTAGTGTTACTGCTTCCTTAATGGGTCAAAAATGCTACTGCACCTAAATGGGGAAAATCTAAGGATCTTGCTTAGACCGGGGGTAGGGGGGAGAGAGGGGTGGAAGAAGGGAGCAAAAGGACACAGATCACCCAAACTGTATTCTAAGGAGTAACATCTGAAATGCAAGTTAGATGAGACTGGATTTCATGCCATTGTAAACCTCTATCTAGATTTTTTTACTGTGTTCTTCATGTAGTATCTGAGCACATTACAAAGTAAAATATTCAAACAAGAGGACAAGTCTTTGGTCTTGCTCCCTCCCTCCTCCTGCCCTTTCCCAAAGGGCTATTAAGATCAAGTTTTCAAAAGTTACTTAGGAACCTACATCCTGTTGACTTTCAAAATACTTAAGTTACTTCTGAAAGTGGCTGTAAGTGCTTTTAAAAAATGTTATCCCTGCTAACCAGTGGCAGGAATCAAACTATACACACAGCACTTCAAGAACCACAACCCAGCAATGTGAGAGTTGAACTTTCCACCAGAAGGTGGTTTTGGCCTTGAAAAATGTACAAGCCCGTACAGTAAACAACTCCACTTTGATGGGCAGTCACCCTGGGGGAAAAGTGGGTCATTAAATGACCTGTGCATTTTATGCTTATGAAAGTAAGAGCTATTTAGAAGGGCATGTCAACTTGTCTCTTCAGTACAAGTCAGGAGAAGGTCCTTAAAAATCAAGCTATGCTGAACTCAATACCGTAAAAGAGGCTAGCACTTGGAGATGGGTGTAGATATGCATGTCAGAAGGCTGCATGGCTTGCTGTAGATTAGACTGTAGTTAATAGGCCCCAACTAAATCTACATAGAAAGCTGTGTTGCAGAGCGTCCCTCACTTCCACTCAATAGCTCCCACTTTCAAGTTTCCTTTTTCACTTTTACTCAGACACTAAACACTCTCTCTCTATATATATAAAATCTGAACTATAATTTCTCTCTAAATTTAAAAAGCAAAACCTTGTTGGGTGAAAGGGGGAGGACTGTCTGCAGCTATGTGACCCAGCTACACTAGCTTTGAAATGTTTTGAAGTGGACCAGAACACTTGTCCAGAATGAGTGCAATTATACTGGTACTGCTTATGAATTGTTAGCGGCACCTAAGGGTTTGCACATCCATATTGTGTTAAAAAAAAAAAAATCCAGCCTCCTGACCCAACAGTGGAGATGTTAGCTTTCTAAAGCAGAAGGGACTTCACAGTCTTTCAAGATAACCTCATTTTCCATCCATCCTTGCTTACTCATTCCTAGATTTGAAAGTAAAATCACCAGGATCACCTTTAGTCTATGGATTAAAAGAGACGGGATGTTTGTACAGAACTGCCTGGGATCTGAATAGTAAGTGGACTCATACACTGAATACATCTGTTGTATTTTAGTGCAGTGCTCCTGCTTGGCTCTTAAATATCTTGTATCACACATCAATATGAAAACGACTGCTAAGATACCCTGAGAAAGGCAGGTTCCTGGCTCCTCTACCACTAGTAGCAAGAATAAATATTTTAATAAGAATTTTTGCACCGTTTCCAGCTACAAAATGACAGATCAACAAAAGAACGCAAGAAATCAAAATCACAGGAGAAGAGAGTGGTAACTGTGGGACTCTGCAGTAAGTAAAAAATACTGCAGAGGAGAAATAAACAAGGTTTGAACATCCAACTTAAAAGCTGAAGTTCACTGGTAAGAACTTACAGCACTGAATTTTGAAGAATTATATTTTGGTACTGAAAATCCCTACAAAATATGCACGCTGTTTTCAGACTTCTCTCTGTGCACATGGCTATTTGGAATATTTCCCTGGTCGTTTTGCACAAAACTGCAAAGGAAAGTAGACTTTGGAAAGGTACAGCGCCCCCCTTCCAGCACATCCCCCTCCAACCACTTCCCTCTGTTGCTCAGTAGGTCTTTCATGCCATCATGGAAATTACCCAAGGACAAAACTACCCCCACAAAAGCAAGATGGGAGCTCAGTACATTTACACTCATTTCCTTTACTTACTCTGGGAAGCTGCAGATCCAAACGCTCCAGTGGCAGAACTGAAGGGGTTTTTATTGGCGGCCTCCTGGCTTGGCTTTCCTCCGAGGCCACTGAAGAAACCTCCACTTCTTCCACCACTTCCAGACCCAAACAAACTCCCACTGGAACTGGATGATGGCTAAAAAAAAACAAAGGGCACACGGCAAGAAAGCATTATAGGTCGCTGTAAAAAAAAAGCACATATATGCCGCTGATTTTGACTGAGCTATTTCTATTCACAATAGCGATACAAAAGGGATGAGGAGCTAAGAAGGTGGTCTCCTAAGGTTGAACAAAATCAGCATCTGCTTAGGTCTCTCTCAAGCTTTACTGACCCTGGAAAATGGTACAGTTGTAACTTGCACCAGGTTGGACACACTAGGGCAAGCTGCAATGGGGCATCAGATCCACACTAGCCACCCTGTCTCTCATCTACATAGTGCAATCCCTGCAAGTAGTGAAGGGCCTACCACTGTTGCACCTAGCCAACAATTCCATACACAGCTCACCGGCCCTTCCCTGGAGCAGGTGCATAATGAGTCCATGGTATGCCTGTTGACACCTGTTCACACTGTTTTGTTCTGTTGTCTGCTTCAAATGGTTCTGTCTTGCGCAAGAGTCTATGCATGCCACAGAAGGGGCAGAGGCTATGTCCTCTCACTCAGATGCCATAGTGGTACATCCCTGAATAATCAAACATTACTGATATAGCCTTGGATAGTTTTTATTTATTGACTACAAAACAGGTTCTATTTGGCTAGCTACAACCAAAGTTCTTTGGACCAGTCTATTTGCAAATACAGGGCCCTGCCACGTACACAGAGAACACACATAGTAGTTACCTGGCCAAAGACAGCGCCCCCAGTGTTGGCTGCCTGTCCAAACACGGAACCTGTGTTGCTGGAACCAAAACCTGGCCAAAGAAGAAAGGGAAAAGACGCTCCGATATAATTCCATCTCGTGCAATACTATGGTACCAGACAATTTAAAAGGGACTGCCATTCAGTACTTCAGAAGAGAGTAATACAGAGACTCCAGTAAAAAGGAGCAATGCACTTCAAGATCCAAATGATACTTCAGTTTTAACTTTATAATACCGTAAAGGTTATCACCAAATGGAGCTGAAGTGACTAGGTACATACCAACACATGAATGGTATAACACATAAGGGTAAGTGTTATTTACATTTTATTTGAAAGTTGTTATCCCCTCTCCCCCATTTAAAACAAACAGGAAATAAAATCTGTTTTAGTGTTTGGGCTAACAGTTGCTAACAGTACTGAATTTCCGATTGGATTTCTGTTAACGTCACTGTAATGCTGCAATCTATGAACAAATGCTGTAGGATTTTGATTTCCCTCGTGTAGAGAGGATCTGAGCTTTGTTACCTAAAGATTCCAGTTAAAGATAATGAAATGTTTTGATTAAAAAGAACTCCCGACTCCATTTCCCAGTTCACTTAAATACATACTTTGTAATAAGATTTGCAGTTTCTATAATTAGAAGCACCTTCCTTTAGTAGGAGTTCACTTCCCCGAGTCTTAAGTATTCTTTATTACTATAGTTAATGCAAGAGGCAGGTCTCCTACAGTCCCATCTGTTATAATTAAATTAGGCTAATTATTTTTTATTGGAAATACATTTTATCTAATATTACTTTGCACTTAGCACCTTTCATTCAGGGCTCTCAGAAGGCTATAACCCTGTCTGAACAGAAAAGCTATTTGCTTTAGTAACACAGGTAACAAGAGAAAGACTGGCAAACAAGGTTCTGGCCTGTGTAAATATTCAATTTATCTGCACAGGCAGGGGACTCGGAAGCCACATTTCCCCCCTTGTTTATTTGCAAGACATTTCATAAAGCAAAAGCATACTTAGCTAGATGACTAGATCCTCATTAACCCATGCTCTGGGGTGGCTAAATGTATCTGGTTTAGTCCCTCAGCTCCTGAAGTAACAGTACATCTATATGCTCTGACTACATGTATGCAATACAGTTCACTTAAGAGGGTTCTTCAGCTGTATTAATTTCCTCACTGTTACAGGCTTACCTTAGATCTCTGTTTAATGTAATGCTCTGAAGTCCTTAAATAGCTATTTAATTCTTTGTAAATTGAGACTACAGTGAATCCAAAACACTTGAATTACTGGTCAATGAGCAGCACAGTACACTGCTCAGAATCATGTCAAGGTATAGTTAGGAATGGGAACCTAAACTGGAACTTCTTTATTTAAACAGAGCTTCCACTGAAACTATTAGGATTAAAGCAGAATGTTTAGCTTCCAACTGCAGGTCTCACACATACCTTTGGAGTTGCTATGTCCACTGCCAGCAGAAGGCATCAAAATTAGTCCTAGTTTTTCCTAGGAAATACTGCTCGCCTACCTCAACCTGACAGTTGTATTCTAACTAGACTACCCCATCATCACCACTCGCTCTTACCTGAAGCTTGACAGAAGCTGAATCCAGATGATGATGTAGTGGTGGTGGCAGTAGCGTTGTTCCCAAATACTGATCCACCCTGTCCAAAGCCAGCACTCTGCCCAAAAACCGGAGCACTGCTTTGCCCGAATAGTCCACCACCAGTGCTGGCAGATGGCTGGCCGAAAGAAAAAGAACTCTGACTGTTGGTGCTAGATGGTGCTCCAAAGACATTCCCACCGCTTGAAGTTGCAGTGGAGGAAGACGGCTGGCCAAAAACAGGCATTGTCCCAAACCCAGTTTGAGTGAAGGTAAAACCACTTGAAGAACTGCTTGCTGGCTGTCCAAAGGCTGGTGCTTGCCCAAATGCTGGTTGACCAAAGCCACCCGCAGCTGCTGTGCCAAAAGCAGACGTGCCAAACCCTGAGCCAGCTACCTGAGTAGTAGCCGCAGTGGTGGAGACAGTGCTGCCGGTGTGTTGACCAAATGGAGAAGATGCTGTGGTAGCGGCTGTTAGCTGTCCAAAAACAGGAGTGGAAGGGGTGGTGGTGGTGGTGTCACCAGCAGGCTGACTAAAGGCCGAAGAAGAACTGGAATTTGGAGGCTGAGAGAACACTGAGGAACTTGAAGAAACAGTCCCAAATACAGAAGTACCTACAGCTGGGCTTTGAACTGATGTATCAATATCTGTGGTGGTAGCCAACGGGCTTGTAATTTCTGCAGAAGGGGCGATGACAACATCTGCTGCAGCTGTGGTCACTGAAATGTTCTGGTCCAGTGGGGCAGAGGCAGAGACTGGAGGAACTGTCTCTGCCTTAGACTCAGTAGCACAGGTAGCTGTAGAGATTGTATCTGTGGAAGGAGTCAAGGAGGTGCTAGGACCTGTAACATCTGCATCTCCTGCTATAGACGGAGATAAAGCAGGTTCGTCTTTAACAGAATCGGACAGCTGTAATTGTGGTTGGGGTATTTGTGGCTGAGAAGTTAGAGGGGCAGACGCAGTTGTTAGTACTTCATCTTCAGGTGGCTTTTCAGATAAAGGTGGTAGCTTGACATCCCCTGCACCATTACTAGAAGCTGCTGGGGATACAGCAGTTGGCGCTGAACTCAAAAGACTTCCAAATGACAGGGATGCTGAAGTGGGGAGAGTTGCAGGTACAGAGGTGGATGTTGTGATACTGTTTGCTTGTGGAAGGCCAAATGAAAAAGCAGGCTTGCCGCCACCTGAAGATCCTCCAAGACTAAATACCCCAGAAGACCCTGTGCTGGTTAACTGGACATTGCCAAATATGCTGCCTGTGGTATTTGTGCTGACTGATGTGGATGCTGTACTGGTGGCCATGACTAATGTTGAAGTGGCTTCCACGGGTTTCCCTAACTGCAGAGGGCTGTTAAAGGTAAATCCAGAAGGTATTGTGGATGTTTTAGTTGGCTGTCCACCAGCAATGTTGGTAGATGGAGCTTTAACATTGACTTTGGTGTTATCATCTGCTTGACCAACCCTTAATCCTGAGAAGCTCCCAAGAGTTTCCCCAGCCATATTACTCTGAAATAAATTATCTCCTGGCTTTGATGGAAGGACTTCCAGTTTGCCAGAGGTTGTGGAGGGAACAGGAGTGGCAGTCAGGGCAGGTTTGCTGTTCGTCTGGGTGGCATCTACAGAAGAGCCACTCGTCATGGAGACTCCTGAAACGTTGGCTGGCTTGACGGACCCAAAGGTAAATGAGCTCTCAGGAACTGTTCCAAATTTAGTACCCCCACCAAGTGAAAATGCGTCAGGCTGACTTGACTCTTTAGCAGGGGCTGTCACTGCTACAGAGACATAAAAGGAATTAAAACGAGTTACAGGTTGCAATGCTCATTTATCATCTGTATAGTACCAGCATGCTGAGTGCTTTACAGACAGGTATGAAGAAAATGCTCCTACCTCAAAGACTTTACAGTCTCATGACTATCAGATGATTAACTATCCCTGCCACTTTCTCAAGCCCCGCTTTCATGAGAGTAACAATGGCTATATCTGAGGCCCATTTCATTATAGATAGGCTTATAGCCATTTTACGTGCTCTTACTTCCTTCATTTTTCAACAGTTATAATTATCTAACTAAAAAGCCCACTCTTTACACTACAGTACATCTTGCAGTTACCTCCACTTTTTATACCCTTTATGTACTTAGCAAAAAGTTCTGGCATGCAGTGAAGAACTGGTAGTCTAAAGCAGTGGCTCTCAGCTAAGGTTGGGTCACAAAGCTGTTTTCTGGAAGTTGCCAAGTTTTCTACAGAATTAAGTCTTTTTATATAAAATCTTAGCTATATAGAGAGCATTAGCCACTTATCTAGTCTATTCTAATCTTTGAAATACTGAAGAAAAGCTCCCAAATGTAATAACATTTATTCAATATATAGTTATCAATGTGCAATTTAGTATGCAGAAAATTTTCAGTCTGATTGTATATTTTATATATTTTATCACATTTCTATGCCTTGACTGTAAATGCCTACTTTGGACATACATATATGGTACAATATCCTTAAATTATCTATTAGTTTTGTGGTATTTAGACAGACAGAGCGTAAGAGACTTGACATGGGGATCAGCCAATAAAAAGACCAAGTAGTTTTGGGACCTTTGAGAAGCCCTAATTTCTCTTCTCTGCCCTTACTGACCCATTTTTTTAAATAAATTAAAAGGTCAAAGTGATACAGATTAATATATACTAGTAACAGACATTGAATTAGTATGACTTATTTCCTCATGAAACTTTAAGGTCCTTACCAATTTTCTTCACTCAATTCCCATCTCCACCATAAATAGCTAACCAAAGCTAGGGTTCTCTTGCTGACCCAGGGAAAGTATCATGAGGAACTGAAATTACTCATGTGTAATGCACTACAAATAGTTCATTAGGCCTGTTGAACCTTCCAATCCCCCTTCACCACCGTTATTTATCCACATTTGTAAGACCTTGATCTGGAAGTTGAAGATTATATGAAATCAGTTCTTCCCCCTTGAAAGAGATGGAATAATTGCACACTGATACAGCAGGTGCTCTTCCAGCCAGGTAGTTATTGGTAAATATTATCTACCAAATGATTAAGTAGGAGAGGCAGCCTGCCTGTTTTTCACATCAGCTTCTGAGAAGCATGCGGCTATAAACCGTTCCAAATCACTCACCATGTACACGTTCTACTTAAGGCTGATGGCACTTGGCAGCCAGCCACCTATACCAATGCCATTATAAAGCCTGCCGATTAAAGATAGTAGAGGAAATAATTTCAGATACTGCCCTTTTCATATGCTAATACTTCACTAGATGTTCCTGGGAACAAGTATTTTGCTTATTCTTAATTGAAAGGCACGTGGCCTGGATTCCTGCATATTACATGGCTTAATCCAGCATATGGATACACAATATTATTGCAACTACTGCAGTTTTAACAACAAAAAAGCAGCAACAGAACACAATTGTATGCATGAAGACGGCATTAAGTAATCATCTAGAGGAGAAATAGAAAAGATGTTATTTCACACTTCACACAATTTACCTTGTGAGGCAGAAAGGCTGGGTGGTGTTGATGCAGTGGACGTGGCTGCACCAAAATTAAACCCAGTCCTAGGGACAAAAAGAAAAAGGGACAGAAGATATTTAGTTTATATAGTATTAATACTTCCTTCCTCATGACTGACTAACAGCCAGTGAAACCCAGATTCCCAGCACAGGGGTGTACAAAATCAGGATTTGTGTACATGTGGGTATGTATCCCTGCTTCCCTCCTGCAAACCGGTTATGACTGGAAATACTTCTGTACAGCAATTGACACATGCAGGGAGAATGGCTGACATTTGTTTCCCTACATATGACAAAGCTCTTAGAAAATTATAGACAGTAAGAGTTCAGTTCAATTCAAGACCCTGCTGACCACTTCATCTTCCCATGTCCTTTCTCCTCTGCTGATTTTGCTCCTCTCTTCCATTCACTGTTAGGAAAGGCTCCATACAATAAGTTAACTTAGCAGAAAATGGATCTGGAAGAGACTAATGGCAGCAGTAGCTACAGGAAGCACATGGATTTATTTAAAATCAAGTGACAACCTTAAAACCAAATGATTTTATATATAGAGACTATGGGATAATTATATGCTCTTTACTACCACTCATGAAGGAGGAAACCATCCACATTATATACATTAAAAGATTATTTCCACAACCTCAGTTAATAATACAAACATACTTTAAGGAGGGAAATTCTTGAAATATATTTTAATCTAGTTTTAGTTGAATATAGAATAAAGCCAGCATAATGAGGTCTGGGATCCTTCGGGGAACCTAAAAGCCTGCAGGAATTTCAGCATTCTGGCCACTTCACCCTGAGTCTCTGTGACAGATACTGCTGCAGCTTTAGGAGAAAGTCTGGGTTGTTTCATTACATTCTGCTGGCACAATCACAGAGGTTCCACATCCAGCGGATGCACTCTAGGCTATGACAAGGGGGCTGTAACTTGAGAGGGTTTTTGATTTCTCTTTTACATTCAAATTTCAACTTCCTCCTTTTAAGATTAAATACCTGGGTCCTTTGAAGAGTGCAACAAGTCAAAGTGCTTATGTGTTATACCCAACATACAGATTAATAAACGAAAGCAAGAGGGATTAAGAGACTAAAATCATAGAAGTGGCAGTCTGCAACAGAACTCGGAAAGGGAATTCCCAAACCTCTGTTTTAAAATAAATACTTGCCTACACCTGACTTAAAAAAAAAAAAAAGAAAAAAAAGAAATTCACCCGAATGCGTAAATACACACAGAATATCTATTTTACTTGCCTTCGCCAAGTAAATTTAAAAACTATATATGTGTTTATAAAATGTTTTTGTCTCACCCTTGAAGCATTTTAGAATAAAGGTTATAACGTGATAACACCGTGCTTTTATCTCATAACACATGCCTCACTGTGTGTTATTGCTTATGTAACAGAAATCACCAGATGGCATTGGGACTGTAGTCACCTCCATGAGTGGATTACTTTTCAAGTCACAATATGGCATTCATGCTGTTGTGTCTTTTTTAACTTCAGTGAGTTCAAACTGGACTGTCTGTCCAGATTTCCAGCCATAAGTGGAAATTTCAGTGCTTGTGTGTGTATCAGAACCTTGTTAGCGTGTACACCCGCCCTTTCGTAATGGACATCTGTATAATCCAGGGTTAGAAAAATTAACTGGAGAACAAAACCTATCAGCAAAGGTTACAAGGATAGTCAAAGGTTAGCCCAGATCCCCTGCCTCTCAATTTTAGCCTCTGGAAGAGGAAGCTTCAGGCCTTCTCAACAGCTAGAGCTGAAGATTTGAAGGTTCATTCTCTCATGTTCTTGTCCTAGCTTCTAGGAAAAGCTCCACTGTTACTTCTCTGTCCTGGCTGGATAAAGAGGTGATAAGAAAGCCAGATCCATTTTGTCTCTGTCTTCTTCACAGAGAAGTGACTATCCCCCATCCTGTTTTCTTCTGCCCCCCTCCAAAGGGGAGCACTCTACTCTACACTTGTCTGAAGCACATAGGTAGAGAGTGGTGTCTCTGCTGCACGTTTGGGAGGCAGAGAGTGAATTCAGTTTGCCCGACCATCAGGTTGGTGCTTTAACCACTAAATACACTACCACATTTACAACCTCATTTAAACCCTTGGATTTCAACCCAATGGATTCAAACCCGGCTAATGCCATGCTGCCAACCAGCCACCCAAAACCTATGAACAGAATTCCTCATCCACTTTTCCTGATGGAGAATGTTTACAGCAAAATAAAATTGTGCCAGATTCCCACAGCCCTTCTAACCTTGCTTATGTAGCCCTTCTACGAACCACGTAAGCCTTGCCAAGCCCTTGACTGGAGCCATTAGCTTCAATTACACACATACGGATAGAAAATTCTTATAATTAATTACAGTAGCTATTTTTCATTGCTACATAGCTCACTGATATTATTTGCTGTAGCAGCATTATAGTACTTAGAAGATATATCATACAGAAATAAAAAGGCTCATAACAGACCCCAATGAAGAGAATGAAAATGTCTGGTTAAACTGTGCAGAAGCCACTGGAGTTGAAGTCACTGTAGGAGAGGTCACAGCTGCAACTGCTTTTGCTGTCCCTTGCCCTAGGGGTACAAGAACAACAAAAGTTGCAGAAAACAGCACATACAAAACCAGTGCATCATCTTTTCACCTTCAGGTCCCCCTAAGTATAGGCCTGTCATGTCATGTGCTGTAGCTAGAGAATCTTTTAGGCCAAGCCCAGCAGAGTCCTCACATATCTGATGGACCATATGCAGTATCAAAAGGAAAAGAGCATTTCACAAACACACATTGTGTCCTATTGCACAAACTGGAAACACAACAGAAAACAAAAGTCTTGCAAAATTCTAACAGCATAGGCTCAGGAAGTGCATTTCACTTTTTATTTTATTTGACACTTATACATAAAAGTATTAATGCTACTAGTGCAAGACTGCAGATCATTTGAACCATTATTTAACAAAAATTGAAGCAATAATTTGTATTTGACTAGGAGCAAAGTTAATGGTCACATTCTCTCATAAGAGAATAAATATTATAGCACAACAAAATCTACCAAGAGATCCTTGACAGTGTTCCCTCCTGAAACCATCACCATAACAACCACTGTTCAAATACAAAGAAGGTACTATCAAATTCAACATCTGACATTTTCAACTAACATTTTAAGAGGTTTGTGTTCTTTTTTTAATGTATTGTTTTGTTATGTGAAATGTGGTTCCTGACTACTTTTATTAGCTCTATTCTCTGATTAAGAAACAACCTACATCTATGGATTAAAGGGAATATTTCATGAATATCAACGATGAGATGGATTTCAGAAATTTATGCAAGAGGTTTTATAAAAACCCATACCCATTTCTACCACTGCTATCTAATGCATGCATGAAGATCAACTCCTCCCGTCACCACGGATTTCCTCTTTTCTTTATACAGTGAAACAACCAAGCATCACTGTAATTCTTAATCTTCTCAGCCCCATCCCATTTTACATTGTTAGAGGGAAAAGGGGCACTAATTTGGAATTCTCAAGCTACATGTAACCGAACAATCTTGAGTGATACTACGTTTGCGCCACAGCTCAGAAGTTTGAGGTATTCTTGTCTATGGCGGTAAAAGGATGAGTACTAGGTGATCTGCCTAACAAAGAGAGATCTTCTAATACTGACTTTTCAGAGGCTACAGGCTCTTGTTACTTGATGAACCTAGATCCAACCCCCTCCCAAAAACAAACAAAAAACCCCAACCCCCTCCAAGTTTTAACTGCTCTTAACCTTTATTTCTTAAGAGCAAGATGGCTCCTTATTTTGAATCTTCTTGGCACCAAGGAAATGGAGAAGCCAGAGCTGCTATTGAGAAGTCACTGGAAACAATTAACAGAAGAGCAGAGAGGGATTCTAGTCTGGAATAACTTCAGAAAGATGTCTTGCTCCACACAGAAGGCTCACTCTAATCCTAATCTTTGCAAGCATGCACACACTTATCTAGTTATTTACTTTTATCTAATTTTTACAACAGAAACAATGTTGAAGTGAATAACGCAGGAGACAAGTAACATTGTGGGGATTTTTCTGCAATAGCTGCTTCTTCCTACTCCATGAATCCCTTTTCTACACCATATTTCATAATTCTTCTAGCAGTCCCTTCATATGGATTTCTAGACATGATTTAGCTGTGCACTGAAAAACAACGCTGATTAACAGTCTCTAGAGTATCCCCAAACTGATTTGCAAAAGCCAGAAGAGCCTGGAGGGAGAAAATGTTTGACAGTCCCTTTGATCACATCTGAGCACAAACCTCAGAAGTCATAGAAAACCAACGGTGCAGTCAAATGGATTAGTGATTAATTCATGCTGAAGTACATTCAACTACTATTTAAAGCCATTTGCAATGAAATAACCTTGTCTCATTTTCTAATAACTAACCCAGAACTGCCAAGTTCCAGGTATCAGAGTGCTATGTGCCAACTGCTTGCCAGGTTCCTCTTTCAGCCTACATACCATACGGGATGGTTGAACTAGGTAGCTATAGTAGAATAGATTAATGCCCACCTACTACCCATCACTTCTTCACTCTTAGGCAATGTCTACACTACAAAGTTAAGTCAACTTTATGTAAGTTGACATTGAGCCTCCGATTTAAGCAAGTCGATCCTGCGTGTTCACACTGTGCTCACTGGGTCGGCGGAGCGCATCCTCACTAGCCTGGGCTTGTATTGATGCACGGAGCACTGTACTGTGGGAAGCTATCACAGTGCATGTAGCCGAGTAGAATTTTGGGTTGGGCTTGCAATGGCTTATGGGACCAAAACACTGGCCTGGGTGGTTATGGAAACATGGCATTAGACTCCTACTATGCACTTACCTCCCTCCCTCCCTGAAATCAATAGCAAACAAACCAAGCCTTTTTTCATGCCTTTTTTCGCAAGCCTGGGTGCCTGCGCGGATGCCATAGCACGATAAGCATGGACCCCGCTCAGCTGTACACTGTTGTTGTGAGCATTACAAACACCCCGCGCCTTATCCTGCAGTATTTACACAGCCAATACAGGAGTCGCTGCATGGAACAATGTGATGCCACGCAAGCAGCTCTGCTGGAAGATGGAGCGGAGCAATTTACAGTTGCTGGCAACAGTCACGCATCACCTTGACACGGCTGAACGCCATTTCTGGGCCTGGGAAACAAGCACTGACTGGTGGGACCTCTTCATTATGCAGCTATGGGATGATGAGCAGTGGCTGCAGAACTTTCGAATGTGTAAGGCCATTTTCCAGGAACTGCGTGAAGAGCATTCCCCAGTCCTGATGCGCAGCAATACTAAAATGAGAGCTGCTCTGACAGTGGAGAAGCAAGTGGCAACAATTCTGTGGAAGCTTGCAATGCCAGATTGCTGTTGGTCAGTGGGGCATCAATTTGGAGTGGGTAAATCTACCGTGGGATCTGTTGTGATCCAAGTTTGCAGGGTCATTAACAGACTTTTACTAAGAAGGGTAGTGATTCTGGGCAACGTGCAGGACATAATGGATGGTTTTGACGTGATGGGGTTCCCTAACTGTGGTGGGGTGATAGATGGAATGCATATCCCTATCTCGGCACCAGACCACCTTGCCAAAGAGTATATAAACCAAAAGGGATACTTCTCAATGGTGTTGCAAGTGCTGGTGGATCACAGGGGCTGTTTCACCAACATCAACATGGGATGGTCGGGAAAGGTGCGCGATGCGTGCATCTTTAGGAACACAGGTCTGTTCAGAAAGCTGCAAGCAGGGACTTTCTTTCCAGATTGCAAAATAATCATTGGTGATATTAAAATGCCAATTGTGATCCCGGGAGACCCAACCTACCCCTTAACCCCATGGCTCATGAAGCTGTACACCAGCAGCCTGGACACCAGTAAGGACCAGTTCAACCATAGGCTGAGCAAGTGCAGAATGGTGGTGGAATGTGCCTTTGGATGTTTAAAAGGTCGCTGGTGGTGTTTGCTTACTAGGTTAGATCTCAGTGAAAGCAATATCCCCATTGTTATTGCTGCCTGCTCCATAATATCTGTGAAATAAAGGGAGAAAAGTTTTCACCCAGATGGGGGGATTGAGGCAGATCACTTGACAGCCAATTTTGAGCAGCCACACACCAGGGCAATAAGAACACATCGAAGGGCTCTGCATCTCTGTGAGGCTTTGAAATCAAGTTTCAGCAATGAGCTGGCGTAATGTGACACTTATCTGTGTTGTTCCTTACCAAACTGTCCCCTCCATTGCATTTTCTCCCCTGTAAACTCCACCCCCACATGTTGAATGAATAAAGAGCCTTTTCTCCGCTATCTGTTAAGTTTTATTATGCACACAAACACACAGACAGCAAAGAAAAGTAAGAACCTGAGGCAAAAGGGCTGATAACACTGGGGAGAACAAGGAAAGCTTGCTTACAGATGCACTGCAATAACAATCAAAGGTGTGGGAATGGGCGCCTTTTGGTCCTTGTACCCTCCTCTGATGTTGAGTGCAAGGGATACCAAACGTCCCTCTCCTCCCCGCACCCCGCCTCATAGGACGTTTGGGGGAGGAGGATGTAGAACTGGGCGATGATGGCAGCAGGTTCAGCATAGGCTGTTGAGGAACTCTAGCATCCAGTTGCCTTTCTTGAACCTCAACCAGACGCCTCAACGTCTGATTGCTCCTTCATAATCCGCAGCATCTCTTCCTGCATGGCACACTCTTTTCCCCTGCATGCTCTTCTGTCCTCCCTGTCCATGTCTAGGTTCTCCGACAGTGTAATCCTCCATGCTCTGAGCGCTGTCTTGTCACACTCGGAGGCGCACATTAACTTATTGAACATGTCCTCCCGAGTCTTCTTTTTTCTGCCTTCTAATCTGGAAAAGTCTCTGCCCCGGTGTGGAGGATGTGCCAATGGACAAGGTTTTGGCTGCAAGAAATGCAATGCACAAGGGTGGCATGGACAGTGCGTGCATCGTTTCTGGTGGCTTTTTTTTTTAAATAAAAATACACCCTTGAATACACTTCACTGCAAGTCACAACGTAATCACAACTGCTGGCTATTGCAAGAGACTGTTTGCTGCTCCAGCCATGGTGAGTGAGGCCATGAGGCATGGGCGAGAGGTCTTGTGCTGCTGCTTTTGTGAAGACATCCTTGGGATCACAGGTTGGAACTTGAGAAAAGCCCCCTTTCCCCCTAGCAACCTGGATGGTGCTTGAGGACAGGCACCAGGGTAAAGCCCCTCAAATAGTTTGGTTATTTACAAACTTTTATGGGTGGGGGGGGGGGGGGAAGGGGAGACAAACAGGAAGTCACTCCCCTCCCTTATTTTCAATGCTGCTTGCAACACAGGGTGATCCCTTCCAATCACAATCACGGCACGTTTCGGAAAGTGTGGTTGTGATACCCATATTTCACTAAACGGGGGGTGGATTACTAGTTGAATTGTTTGCGGTTTAAGGGCTAGCATTGAAAACTTCCCGTTTCCTCTAGGTGAGCCTATGCGATATCACTCTCCTTAGGGTAACAGAGGAGGCAAAGGAGCAGATTCTGCAAGCATCTGGATACAGAACTGGTCCTTATGCTGCAATGCTGTGTGCTGCAATGATGACAGCAGAGTTAATACTGGAGTGGCATGGGAAAGCGTCCTACCGTGGTGGACAAAATAAGGCAGCCCTTCCCAGAAACCTTCTGCAAAGGATTGCAGAGTACCTCCATGAAAGCGTTCTAGATTCCCGGGCCATCCCCATAAAGAGTCTTCTTCGGACAGCACCCTCTGCATAGCTGGAGTGGCCACCGATACCCATTACACCTACTTTTTTGTTCCAATTAAACATAAAAAATAATAGCATGTAACCCCTAGAGTTTGATTGGAAATGTGTACTCACCAGAAGTGCCTTTCCCAGCATTATGCTCTGCCGCTAACTGGTCCTGTGTAGGGATGGGCTCCAGGGTTAATAACAATTCTTGGCTGTCGGGGAGAATGGATCCTCCACTTGCCTGCCTCACTTTCTTGTCCTCCTCAACAATGTCCTCCTTGTTGTTGCTTGAGGACGCCCAGGGCTCTTGGGAGGTATCTACGGAGTATTTTGGGGTAGTGATGGGGTCACTGCCGAGAATTGCATGCAGCTCCTCATAAAAGCGGCATGTCTGTGGGGCAGAACCAGAATGACTGTTCGCCTCCCTTGTCTTCTGGTACACTTGCCAAAGCTTCTTTATTTTCATGTGGCACTGCTGTGTGACCCTGGTGTAGTCCTTCTCCCCCATGCCCTGCACAATCTCCCCTATGCCCCGCATGATCTTGACACAGATGTCAGCATTTCTTCTGCTGGATCGGAGCTCTGCCTGTATAGACTCTTCTCCCCACGCAGCAATAAGATCCAACACCTCCTGTGTACTCCATGTAGGAGGGTGTTTGCGGCCTTGAGTCTCCATGATCAGCTGTGCTGGCGAGCTCTCCATGCTGATCAAACAGGAAATGAAAAATCAAAAGTTCCTGGGGCTTTAACAGGGGAGCGGCTGTTTCCTGTGTACCTGGCTGACATGCAGTGGAGTTGAAAGTGCTCTCCAAAGTGGTCACAGCAGAGCACTGTGGGACACCTCCTGGAGGCCAATTCATTCGAATTACACAACGCGGTGTCTACACTATCCCCATGTCGACTTGGGGATGTCAAATCAAGCACTACACCTCTCGCGGAGGTGGAGTAGAGAAGTCGACTTTACAGGCCACTTAGCGGTGGAAGGGACTTGGTAGCGTAGACACACACTTTATTAGATCGACTTAACATGGCTTATGTCGACCTAAGTTTGTAGTGTAGGCCAGGCCTTAGACATGGAACCACAAAGTCCATTCATGTGTATCTTCTCTTTGAAGGCAGCAAACAACTATTGTATAAAGATACGTGGGCAATTCCAAACTCTGCATGGTCACAGTAGAAATTAACACGGATATCTGAAACATTCTTGTGTATATTCTTGATCATATTTCAAACTATTGGTATAGTTGATAATTGTAAGGAGGTCTGCAGTAGCCCTTAAGATAGGTAACTTATCAACTGCCTAACATGGGTTATTCTGGTTAATACCCACAAATTCAGAAATTAATAGGGGACAATATTACTGTTACCTCTAGACAAGGATGTCATTTTCGCACTTCAGTGGAAGTCCTTTACACAATCTAAGAGCTTGCCTACATAGTAAGTTACTGCATGGCAAGCCAGGGTGTGAATCTACAGTGCACCAGCTTGCCACAAAATCATCTTGTGTGGACGCTGCTACAGTGCAGTGAAAATCCCAGAGTGCAGCTGAGCATACCGCGCTTTCAAGCCCTAAACAGGCTTCCGTTTTAACTGATTTTTTAAACACACCAGTGTCCAAACTCAGATACTTCAAACATTTACAATTAAAGGGAACACACAAGCTAAATATTAAGTGTAGTCACCTTGATTCCAGAATGAAAAAGGAACTTTTTCAAGGCAGAATTTTAGACAAAAGCCATGTGGATGGGTTGAGTTTTGAGCAGCTGTTCCATTTAGCTTTTGTACCTTTGCTTTTAAAACTCTCTCTCTAGACCGGGGTGGGCAAACCACGGCCTGCGGGCCAGATCCGGCCCATCAGGGCTTTGGATCCGACCTGCGGGATTGCCACCCCTGTGGAGCTGCGGGCCCCACGCTGCTCCCGGAAGCGGCCAGCACCACATCTCTGCTGGGGGGGAAGGAGAAGGGGTGGAGCAGAGGGCTCCTTAAGCGGTAGGCACAGCCCCCTGCAGCTCCCATTGGCCGTGAATGTGGAACTGCGGCCAATGGGAGCTTCAGGGGAGGTACCTGCAGGCAAGGGCAGCGCACAGAGTCCTCTGCCTCCCCTCCCCCAGGGGCCGCAGGGATGTGGTGCCAGCCACTTCCCGGAGCGGCATGGCACAGGGCCAGGGCAGGCAGGGAGCCTGCTTTAGCCCCGCTGCGCCCCGCTGCCACCCCAGAGCCACTCAAGGTAAATAGCACCGGACCAGCCCCCACACCCCGAACCCCTCCTGCACCCCCACCCCAACTCCCTGCCCTGAGCTCCCTCCCACACACCGCACCCCCTCCTGCACCCCAACCCCCTGTCCTGAGCCCTTTCCTGCACACTGCACCCCCTCCCACACCCCATGCTCCCTCCTGCACCCCAACCCCCTGCCCCAGCCCTACATTCATGGCCCTGCATGCAGTGTCCCCACCCAGTTTGCCCACCCCTGCTCTAGATTGAAATAGTAAGAGGCCAGTCAACAGAAGTTGAATCAGTGTCTTGATTTCCCCCCTCCCCGTGCTATGAAGGACGGGCCTTCTCCCATTCTTGTTTCCATCTCAACAGAAATGACAACTGACCTGAGATTTTGTTGCCAGCTGATATTTGACCAGCTGTAGTAGTGATGGTACATGGTATGGATGCAGATACAGGTGAAGACTGTGCCTTAAGTGAGCTGGTTAGAGACCCCTAAAAATACAAAAACCACTTAATGTAATTATTACTTCAATGCCCGAGCATATAATGTACCCCCCCCCTTTTTTTTTTTAAGTTACTCCGTGTAATTTTGAGGTGGATTTGGTGTCCAAAAAAGGAAAGGAGCACTATATCTAAAACTAGGAGAAGCTGGCCAAAGCACCTGCCAACACTAGCAATGCATCCTGTCCTAATCTGCAGTATTCCCCTTCCTATTACAATTGTGAGCCCACACATGGCTCTACAAAACTCAATAGAGAGTCCATACTCAACTCTTAATGAGTCTCCAATCTAGCCCAGCAAACCTCTGTGACTGCAGTTCTGAGGCTCTCCTGAACAAAGACTGACAATGTTAATGTTTTGGGATGTGGATGACCATTAACCTGTTGTAGTATCTAATCCCCCAGTAGGAAAGGTTTTATGGAAAATACTGGATGCAGAGAATTATTCTTTCCCCTGATTTCCCCACCAGCCTCTGTTTTTGCATCAACTCGGAATGTCCGTTAACTCAGTTAACACTATCTCCCTCATTGTTCGTTTCAGACTGACTAGACAGCCCTGATGCGGCAGTAAGACCATGGCCACTTGCAGCCCACAAGCTATTTTCAAAAACAATACGAAAGCAGTAGAGTTAAGAGACATAATACAGATATGTCTGGCACTATCCAGTCAGGGTCACAGATTAAGCAGTGGTTTGAAAGGAATGCAGGATAGAGATTGTGGAAAGGGACTGTAAGACAACCTATTCAACAGCAGCTGAAAGAGTGGTATAGCATCTGCCCGGCATAGTGCTTAATAGGTAAAAGACAAATATCAAGAGATACCTGCTTGGCTTGATTTGTAGCAACTGTAGCCAAAACTTGGTGGACTGCTTGGGCTGCAGACTGAGGTACGGAAGATCTAAAAAAAAGATTTAATGAAAGGCTAATTTAGTAGCAGGTCTCTCCTCAAAGCATCAACTTTTGAGAAGTCCAGTACAGCATTGACAGCAAAGATTCTGAACACGTGATTCTAGCAAAACCCAAAGGAACAAATCAGATTATGGAATAAACCTCTTAAATGAATAAGCCTCATTTAACAGAGAGTGGCTGCAAGTGTGTCTAAAGCGCTAGACTTAAGTAATCAAGTCTCCTTCACGCCCATTTATGTCACTGAAGAGAAGGTAGTGAACCCCTCTCTATTTCAACAGGGAATTGAAGAAAGAATCAGCAGGTCAGGGGATTGTGTGTGTTAAACACCAGACACAAAAATGAAAGAGGCTTTCCACACATTCTAGAGCCTGGAATTGGATACAAATATATGTAACTCTCAAAAGTGATGAACAAAGAGACAAAAATGTGGAAAAAAAATCCTTCCCTTTGGCTTCAAAATTGTAAAAACAGTGAATTAGTGAGAAAGGATTGTGACGTGGTTAATCTGTGATTTATAATAGGATTGCTTGGTTATGGTTATATGAAAGTTTAACTTGCTTTATAAACTGTACTTCTGAGCCCAGGGGCAATCATTAATGAAAGGCAACTACTTCTGGGGTGAAACCTAGCTCCCACTGTGTGTCGCATTATGGCTCTAATTATTATAACATGGGAATGGCCATTAAGTCACAGGAACTCCTCCCATTAGTGGTCCATTTGGTCCAATACCATAGATTTTAGAAGAAAGTAGTAAGGAAGAAAACTTATAATGACTTGTTTTCCCCACATCTAAACCAATGACAGGTGCTCTGTAAAAACTGATCTCTCTCTCTCCACTCTGAGACAGACCAAGTCTCCCACAGGATTCTTGCCAGCAAGTTAAAAAAGTTTGGATTGGATGAAAGGCCTATAAGGTGGATAGAAAGCTGGCTAGATCATTGGGCTCAACAGGTAGTGATCAACAACTAGTTGGCAGCCGGTATCAAGCAGAGTGCCCCAGGGGTTGGTCCTGAGGCCAGTTTTGTTCAATATCTTCTTCATTAATGATCTGGATGAATTGCACCCTCATCAAGTTAGCAGGTGACACTAAGCTGGGGGGAGAGGTAGATACACTGGAGGGTAGGGATAGGATACAGAGGGACCTAGACAAATTGGAGGATTGGGCCAAAAGAAATCTGATGAGGTTCAATAAGGACAAGTGCAGAGTCCTGCACTTAGGAAGGAAGAATCCCATGCACCACTACAGGCTGGGGACCGAGTGGCTAAGCAGCAGTTCTGCAGAAAAGGACCTAGGGATTACAGTGGACAAGAAGCTGGATATGAGTCAACCGTGTGCCCTTGTTGCCAAGAAGGCTAACGGCATATTGGGCTGCATTAGTAGGAGCATTGCCAGCAGATCGAGAGAAGTGATTATTCCCCTCTATTAGGCACTGGTGAGGCCACATCTGGACTATTGTGTCCAGTTTTGGGCCCCCCCACTACAGAAAGGATGTGGACAAATTGGAGAGAGTTCAGCGGAGGGCAACGAAAATGATCAGGGGGCTGGGGCACATGACTTACGAGGCGAGGTTGAGGGAACTGGGCTTGTTTCGTTTGCAGAAGAGAAGAATGAGGGGGGGATTTGATAGCAGCCTTCAACTACCTGAAGGGGGGTTCCAAAGAGGATGGAGCTCGGCTGTTCTCAGTGGTGGCAGATGACAGAACAAGGAGCAATGGTCTCAAGTTGCAGTGGGGGAGGTTTAGGTTGGATATAAGGAAACACTATTTCACTAGGAGGGTGGTGAAGCACTGGAATGTGTTACCTAGGGAGGTGGTGGAATCTCCATCCTTAGAGGTTTTTAAGGTCAGGCTTGACAAAGCCCTGGCTGGGATGATTTAGTTGGGGTTGGTCCTGCCTTGAGCAGGGGGTTGGACTAGATGACCTCCTGAGGTCCCTTCCAACCCTGATATTCTATGAAGTCCTTCTCTCTAGGCAGAAATGAAATCTGGGTCTCAAAAGTGCTGTAACTACTACACCGCTCCAACTCCCACACTCTACATCAGCAGTGTGTCAGTCAGTCAGTCACCAGGAAAACTTTCAGAATTTTCCTAACATCCCAAGGGAATGGCACAAGTACACACAAGCACGATTTCTCACAGCCATTTGCCTTTTTAGTGGGGGTGAGGGGAGGGGAAGCTTGAATAGGATTTGATGCTGTAAACAAAGCTTTAAAAAGGACTGGCACTAATGGCAAGTCCTTCCCTTCCAGCAATGAAAGCTCCCCGTGTTGCACACACTGGAATAGCCCTGTGCCTAGCTATCACAATAACAATTTCAGCAACTGACTAGCACTAGAGAATGCTCAATATTAGAGGAAGGGAGGTGATGAGAAACATCACAAGATGCTCAAGATCCCTGGGTGTAGAGAGAATGAATAGATACCCCCATGGCATTGGTAACTGGATGGGAGTCTCTCCCTTTCAAGCTACTAGTTCAAGTCCAGGGCATGTTTGTTATGGCAAGTCATTACAACTGACAACAGTTCAATGGTCTATGTGCAATGAGTTGGCGATTTCAATATAGTTTTTAGTAGTCTGGAGTCTACATTCAAATTATACTTGACACCCTCAGAGAGGCCACGAATGGAAAGGGCAGGAAGAGCGAAGTGCTCTCTCGCAATCCAGCGGGTGGTCCCTCCACAACAAGGCAGAAGGGCATCGGTGTGGACAGATGGTTTCACTTCTTAGAACCGTCAATTCAGCACTTCTCGCATACACTATGATGTACTCTGCAAAAGCTGCACCAGCCAGAATTAACCCTATCTAGTGGCTCTAGGGGTATGCAATGGTGCTTCATGTCCCTTTGCAGCCTATGTTCAGGGCAGCACTGATTGGTGCTAAGGGTGGTGGTGGGGATGAGGTGGCAAAGGCTATAGCCAAGTCTCCTCAGGAGAACGCCTGCCCACTGCAGACATCCCACAGCCTAGAAAATAGGTCATTAGTGTTTGTACTAAACACAAACAGCATTTCTGGTTCTACCATATGCCCATCCATCAAGTGATTAAAGGCACTTCAATCTTGTGCCACACAGTACACCCAACATCTGAGGTTATTTAGCATAACTGTACTGGTTAAAAGAAGAACAGGAGTACTTGTGGCACCTTAGAGACTAACAAATTTATTAGAGCATAAGCTTTCGTGGATACAGACTAACACGGCTGTTACTCTGAAACTTGTAAATGAGACCGCTTCTAGACAACGATTTTAGACCCCCTGGTCAAACAAGGATCTTTTTCATCCAGATTCCTCTGTCTGCAGACTGTTACACACAGTGCATTACACTGTAGCAGTAATGCCCTATATCCTGAATGCTCTCCTCCAATCCTCGGGACACAAGCTAGTCTTAAGATTCAGACCATGTCTGTCTGCCAATCAGGAACAAAGCCCTTTTATCTCAAGCCAAGGTGATGTCATGTATTTCTAATACTGAATCAAACGTCTAGGTCTGATGTGACGACATCGTTCTGCACGCGCCCTCTCAGGACCACCACCCACTCACACACCCACACCCAACAGAACAACCACCATTCAGAAGCATTATAACCAGACTGCTACCAAAGCTTCAGGGAAGGGCACCCTGCATTCCTGAACTGAATGAGAACAAACTATGCAAGCGGTTGAATCCAGCCTGTACAGGGTGCACCGTAACCAATATCTCCACGGATGTTTTACTTTCAGCTCTACATACCACCAGCACACCCTGAGCCAAGTGTCAATAGAATTTGAAACCCTATAATGAAGGGGAAAAGCCAGTACCATGCCTGAAGGCTAGATTTGGTAAATATCACACAAGGATTCCTACAGGTCATGAACACATTGAGCACGGGGGTTGCCATTTCAATACTCAGAATCAGTGTACTGGCAACAGAACTTAGGCCTGGTCTACACTAGGCGTTTATGTCGAAGTTAGCGCCGTTACATCGAATTAACCCTGCACCCG